CGTCGTCTTGCCGGGAGGTGGGCTGGGGGGTTTGGGGCTGCTCCCCGATTTCTCCGAACCCGACCAAATCGGTTCGACCTTGGGGGGCAGGCGGAGCGGGGGGCTGCCGGCCCCTTGGCTACAACTGTCCGCCTTGGACTTCTTGAGCGAGCCCTTGGGCTTGGCCTTCCTCTTCTTCCTCGCCTCGCCGCCGGCCTTGGCTTTGCCGCCGGTTCCTTTGGGCTTCTTCAGCCCCGCCTTGGCCTTGGGGGCTTTGGCCTTCTTGACCTTGACCCCCCCCGTTTCCTTGGGGGGCTCGGCTTTGCCCCCCGCCTTGGCCTCGGCCGCCGCTTTCTCCTCGGGTTTGAGAAAAGGCGCCCGGCTCTCGGCGTCCCGGCTGAACTTGACACCGATGGAGCCGCCGCCGGAACCGCCGCCGGAGCCGCTCTCCTTCCCCGCCGCCGTGGTGGAGCTGACGCCTTCCCGGATGAGGATGGCCACCTTGGATTGCAGCTTCACCTTACGGGAAGCGGGGGGCTTGGCGGGGACCCCCTCCCCTTCCTTGTGCCCCCCTCCTTTGCTCTTCCGCGGCGCCTTCTCCCTCTCGCCGCGCGGCGCCTTCTCCTTCTCCCCCTTGGCCGGCTCCGGCGGGGGCGGCAGGGGGCGGCCGGGGGTCTCCTTGAATTTCTTCTTGTACTTCTCGCGGGCGGGGGGACGCTCCTCCGGCCGGCTCCGCTTCCGCTCCTTCTCCTTCTTGACCTCCGCCGACGGTCGCGGTTCCCCCTTCCCTCCCCGCGCCGGCGCCTCGGGGGGTTCCCGGTCGGAGAATCCCTCGAAACTCAACCCTTCGGAATCGTAGAGCACCTCTCGCTTGGCCGGTTCCGGCGTTCCTTCCCGTCGGCTGACGGTGATGGTCCGTTTGATGGCGAAGAGATCGGCGTCGTTCAGCTCCTGGACGGAGGGCGGCACCACCGCCCGCGCCTCCCGCCGCCGCGCCGCCGGCTCCCCTCCTTTCTCCGTTTTGGGGTCCCCCGGTCCTTCGCGGGACGGCCGGCGGGACGGCCGACGTTCCCGAGAGCGCGACCGTTGCTTCTTTTTCTTCTTCCCTTCGCCCCGGTGTTTCTCCTTGTGGCGGGGGCGCCGGGGGCGCTCGCCGCTCCCCGACCGTCGGCTCCGTCGTTTTTCCCGCGAACGGGAACGCCGACCCCGCGACCAGGAACGCCGGCGGGAACGGGAGCGGGAACCCCGGCGGCGATGTCGTTCCTTAGGTTTGGGGGGGGGTTCGGGGGGTTTCTTGCCCCCCCAAGCCGCCCCGCCTCGTTCCCGGGAACGTTTGGGTTTCTTGCGGGAAGCGGCGGAGGGGGAGCGGGGCGAGGGGGGGGCGCGCAGGCGGCGCTGGCTCAGGATCTTGCGGCGCAGGTCGGACCCCCCGGTTTTCCAACGCGGGTCAGGTTGGCTGTCGGCGCCAAAATCCCCTTCCTCGTCCGAATCGGCGTGAAGGGAGAGAAAATCGTCGCCCTCCGGTAACCGGGGGGGGCGAGATTCGGCCGCCCGGCCCCTGCCGGCACCGGCACCGGCACCG